TTATGTCTTGGTGACTTTCTTTTGGGATCTACCTTCTGTGAGGTTTGATGAGCATCTTGGATGGATATCTTCTCATCTTTCATGATATCAGGGAAGTTTTCTGCCAACAAATCTTCAACAATTCTCTGTATTTTCCCTTATCTCCCCACCCCCACCCCATTCTGGTACTCCAATCACTCGTTGGTTATTCCTTTTGATAGAATCCCACATAATTCTTACAGTTTCTTCATTTTTTTAAACCCTTTTGATTTTTCCTCAAATAAGTTGGTGTCAAGTGCTTTATCTTCAATCTTACTAATTCTGACTTCCATTGCCTCAATTCTGCTCCTATGACTTTCTACTGAGTTGTCTGACATTTTATTGTTAATCTTCTGAATTTCTGATCGTTGTCTATGGATTCTTGTGGCCTGTTAAATTTGTCATTATGTTCTTCTCTAATCTTCTTAAGTTCCTCTATTGCTAGGTCTGTATTTTGCTGGATCTCCTTCCTGATCTCTTGAAGAGTCCTGTATATTAATCTTTTGTATTCTGCCTCTGGTAATTCCAAGAAATTCTCTTTCTCCAGAAAATTCCTTGATTCTTTATTTTGGGAACTTGCTGAAGTCATCATGCTCTGCTGCTTTATGTGATTTGATACTGTCGTCTCCAAGCCATCAGTAAGTTATATTTATTTTATGTTTGATTACTGTGTCCTAGCTCCTTGTTTTGATATGCCCAAATAGACTGCTCATGTGAGCTAGCTCGATCAACAGTGCCCCTGAAGCTCCAACGTCCTGTCACCGGGTGGCTAGAACTGCCACTAAGTATGTGAGTCCAGGACTCTGCCCACTCCTCTTGTATGGATTCAGCTCAGGTGTCCAGATAGACGGCCACCAAGTGTGTGGTGCAGAATCTCACCTACAGTCCTAGACAGGCATGGGTGATTGGTATAGGCACAGGCATCCGGTTGCAGCAGGGGGACACATGCTGAGCAAGGCAGAGGGTTGACTGCTGCCTCCAAGTGTCCAGGAGGAAAGCATGTCCCTGTCTCCTAGAGCGCATAAGTGTGTGGGTTTTGCAGCTGGACCGTGAGCACCCAATACTGTTGTCTGTACGCACTGGAGTGCACCTCTTATTCTTGGGCCCCTACTGCAGGTGGCTAGGTGACGTGGGTGCAGCCACCAGTCCTCAGGTCCCTGATGTGGGTAGTTGAAGACTCTGCTTAATGGGCACAGCAGCGTCATATGTCACGAACCTGCCACTTCACAGCTGAAACAATTCAAGTTAGACTTCAGGTATATACCCTGTTGTACTGCCGTAATGAGAGCCTATGCTGTTGAGATGGGCCCACACACATCTATGCAGGGGGAAAGGCACTCAAAGTTCATGGATCCCTTATGCCTGTGCCTGGGCAAAGGAGCTGTGCCTACCCTGAGTTCCTAGCTTATAGGAGCTGGCAGATTATTTTGTCCCCTGTTTGTTAATTTGTTCCCTCACCAAGGCCAGGAGAATGGCTCAGGGTACATGACAGCTCCTACTTCTGGCCCAGGGGACTCAGCATTCCATGAAGCCATCCTGAACCCAGTGCAGAACAGGGAGTAGGGAGGTAAATGGAAGAGAGGTTTTTCCCTAAGGTGGGTGTTTTGATCTGTGTGGTAGGCCAGATGCAAGTACTTATCTTTCACTGATCGAGGGCTGCTTCTCATTGGTTCTGGATGGCCAAATAGACTCTGTGCTGCTGGATCTCTCTTGATGTGTAAAACGCCTCCCGAGCACCCCTGCTTGCCTCACCGCTCACCCCCAAGCTCATGGCTTAAGGGCTCCAGCTCCTGCTGGGTCAGGTCTGGCAACTCCTTGCTGCTTCTGAACTCTCTCTCCCTCCCCTGCCACTCAGTCTGATTCATCAACTTTGCCTTTGATGTTCAGGGCTTCTAGATTGTCATATATAATCAATTTTCTTGTTTTTTCGGGTCTTTGTTGTAAGAGGGACCACAGAAGTGTCTGACTACTCTGTCATCCTGGTCCCGCCTATCTCTTGATCATTCTTGACAGAGTTTTGAAAATTGTATTACTCTATTTCATTAATTGGCAGTATTAGCTAATTGTTAGTTTCTATTATAAGCATTGTAGGGCTACATATTTTTCTCTAAGTATTGGCTTAACTAATCTCACAGATTTTTTTATGCGTTACTTTTAGTATTTTTCTGTTCAACTTTTTTCTAATTTCTTTTGCTATAATTTTGGGGCTTTGAGACTCATTAGTTATTAAAAATGTGTTTCTTCATACCAATAAGGATTTTTAAGGCATGGTCTTATAATTCATTTATAGTGTAATTCAAATGACATACTGTCTGTCACGTTAACATACTGAAAATTATTAAAATTTGCTTAACATTTAATAATACAATCTCTTTTCTTTTGTTAATTGTCCTGAGTGTGTTTGAAAAGAAGGAATATCCCCAATTTATAAATGCAATACTAAATATGCCCATTAGGTTCGGATTACTAATTATGCTGCTCGAATATTCTATATCTTTACTAATTACAGTATAGAATAAAATTATCTTGGTAAGCCTGAGATACTTTCAATTATGTATCAAAAAATATGCTAATTAGAATGTATATGAACATGGAAAATATGTTTTTCAGAGTAATCTCTATTTTGTTCTATAAGATTTTAATTTTCCTAGATACACATATCACTGTCTTTGACTATGCTCCATATTGTTGACATATTCTGTATATTATAAAACAATAAATAGCATTTTCATTTTTCTGCTAGATTTTGCTTTTAGAGTCTATATTGATGTGTAGAAAATTAAGGCAACAGATACTTTTGTATTATAAAGGATTATTTTCTTCTCCATCAGTGATAGTCTATGCCTTTAAAAATAGTTTAATTTTTCACTCCTTTTTGCTATTCCTAGACAGTGGACTTTAAGTTCAAATACTTGATTGGTTGTCAGTCAAATTTCTGAAATCAGTTGATGTGGTGATTTGACTACCTCCCTACCTATTTCTCTGAGTTTAATTAGAGCATCAATGTTTACAGCATATGTAGGATAACACTACTCATGATTCATATAGCAGATTCTAGGCATTATATAATTAAAATATAACATTTAAAACTGGTAGACTAGGAATACAGTGGAATTTTTAAAAATATATAATAAAAATACTGTGTAAAAACACATACTTATATAATGAGAAATAATGTCAAAATGTTGGTTGCTTTTAGGGTTTATTCTAACTTTTTGTCTGTTTGTTTTAAGGGACGGAAAAAGTTTCCTTTTTCCTGTGCAATATCTGCAACTAATTAAGTTTTATTGCCCAGTATTACTGATGTGAGTGGGCTCACCCAAAACCTAAAGAGATTTGGAAATCAATTCACCAGAAAGCACCTTCTAGTAACACTTTCCCTCCTAAGACTTATGATTACTTTTACCTTTATTTTTCATACCAAGTAGCTACAAAGACACTAAGTTCTTAATACATATCTGATCCCCTTAGTATATCAGCATCTTTTCCCAAATACAGGGAAGGAATTCCCCAAAATTTTCACAATTTTAGAACTGAAATATGAAGAAAAATTTAGCTAAAATTAGATCAATACTTTAAGTACTAAAAACAATGTGTTGTATTATATCATTAGGAAAGCAATACATTGGCAAAATTATAATAAGTTTCAAAAGCAAGTATCTGCCCTACTCACCTGATACATTTTTGTAATACTTAAAAGAAAACGGCTATTAAAAAATGTACAAGTATTTGATGCAGAAAATAAGTAAAAATATAGCAGAAAATATTTATAAAGTATAGGTGAACATTAATTAATACTGAATCCAAGATTAGTCAAAATGTTTTGCTTGGTTCATATATGATAAAAATGGACATTATAAAAAATAATTCATAATTGATGCAACAAATACTTATGTCATATATATAGGACTTCTTATCTCTAATATGTTTTTAAGATTCAGTTTCATACATATGTACATGGAAAAGAAGTGGCTCATAAATCAAAGTACTTGGGTTCTAGTATCAACTTTGTCAGTAACAGTTTTATGAACTTGGACAAATCCATTCTTGTTGGTAGCCTCATCTGTGGAATGTGGATAATAATATCTGTCCCATTTACCTCTCAGGGCTTCTGTGAGGATCAAATGGAGATTAGTAGGTAAAGGGGCTTTGAAAAGTTAAAAGTTCTTTATAAATATGAACTCTTATTATACTGAAGTTATTCTTGACATTCCAGATTTGGTTTCACAAGGAAAGTAAAATAAAACCCTAAACTTCTAGCTTAGAAATTACTACAAGTGGTGCTGGAAAAATTTGTCAGCCTTCATTTTGACAATATACATTCACTTATTTTTCAGTGAAATGAAGCAACAATTGGGCTGTGTTGCACAATTTTACAGGCTTACCTGAATGAGCACATATGGCCCATTTAGCTGAGTATATTTTAATAGGTGTTGTTTATTATGAGTTGATCTCCTACAATAATAGTGTATTATCTGATATGTACCTCCTTTAAGAGATCACCTTCTCTACCTTATATATTATTTGGGTATTAATTTTTTGTTTTTTTAACAACTTATCATATCTGATGAGTGACACAAAGTAATAATGACAGCTCTCTGAAATGGATCAAAGCAGAGAGGCTCACCAACCCTGCATGAATTATCTTTCATGGATGATGTTTTACTTCTCAGTTTTCCAAAAATGTCTATCATATGAAAAATACTTGTTATCATTCTGTTTGTCTTTGAAGGCACTAGTCTTCAAATTAATCTTCAATTACTTCACACACACACACAAAGTCAACAACTAGTTTTAAATGAATCATGGTTCTAAATTAAGTATTGAGAGGGAGAAAGGAATGTATCTAAATAGTTAAACCACCGAAACTGCCTCTGCTGCTAAGTATAGCTACTCTGTATGTTTTAGCAATGAACACACTGCAGAGAGTAAGGACGTGGGAAGTGAAGGCAAAAGTCAGGAAACAGAACACTTCTACTTACTGCAAATGAGAGTAGTTTCATCTGAATTATCCGCACAATCATTCACAAAATCGCACAGCTTGTCCTTTGGAATGCAGTGCTTGTTAGCACACATGAATTCTTGAGCAGTACATTTCCTGTCTGGACTAAGTAAAGGGGAACAATCTTGAAAGGAAATATCATCCACTGCCACATCTCCGATGTAACTGATGCCACGTTTTGCCCTGAAGACAATCTTAAAAAAGGAAAAAATAAATGGAAAAGCTGACTTCAGTTGCACTCTTAATCAAGTAGTTCAAAACTTGGAGCAAACACTAAATATAGCACATAGAGACCGAATCTGATAAAATTCCCCCTAATGAATCTGACGCAGGAAACTTGAGGGTCATCTAAAATCTGTACCATCCTTGAAACCTAGGAATGTGGGCAGGGCATTGCTACTGCCTCAGGTCTAGGTATGTATGATAGGTAGTCTAGAAAAGTAGCAGGAGTCACCAACCCATTACTGCTTGATTCTGCCAGCTCTCAGATCCTAACCAAGACCTACTCTTAGAAGCAGAAGGCCAGTCAGATGGCAGAATGCACCAAGAGAAAGAAGATGCAAGCACATCCTTTATTTTCCCAATTCTTGCCATTCCTCAGATCTGTCCACCCAAATATTTGAAAGCTAAAAGGTACCGAACCTCAATACCATTAAGTTTCTTCTTTCCCCCCCGACTGGCCAGTGATGAAAAATAATAAGAGGAGGATCACTAAGGTGATTCTATCTTCAGGTTGTAACATTACCACTACTTGGAGTAACAATGGGGACTGTTCATTGAGCAAAAAAATCACCATGTTGTTTAGTTTCAATTTTCCAAATAAAATTAGTTGTTGAGAGAAAGGAATGTATTTAAATAGTTAAACCACCTTTACTTCCTCTGTTGATAAAAAGATACCCTGCATGTTGCAGCAATGAACACACTGCAGAGAGTAAGGATATGGGATGTTAGGTTTTACTGCAGGTCAAAGATATAACTATCATTATGAGAAAAATTCATATATTTTAAGATAAAATAGAATAATTAGAGATGAATTAAAGTACAGATTTACCTCATTGTGATTTTATACAAAATATTTATTGCTATCAAACTTATAAATATCTCTTGATCAATTCTAAACAATTGTTTCTCTTGAAAGAAGTAATTAAAGTGTTTTCCTCAAAATGTTCATGATCATTAGCCATTAGAGAAATGCAAATCAAATCTACAATGAGGTACCATCTCACCCCAACAAGGCTAGCATTAATTCAAAAAACACAAAACAATAAATGTTGGAGAGGTTGTGGAGAGACTGGAACACTTATACACTGTCGGTGGGAATGTAAAATGGTACAACCACTTTGGAAATCGATTTGGCACTTCCTTAAAAAGCTAGAAATAGAAGTGCCATACAATTCAGCAATCCCACTCTTTGGAATATATCCTACGGAAATTTAAGAGTGGTCACATGAACAGATATATGCACACCCAGTTCATTGCAGCACTGTTCACAATAGCAAAAAGATGGAAACAACCTAGGTGCGCATCAACGGACGAATGGATAAACGAATTATGGTATATTCACACAATGGAATACTATGCAATGATAAAGAATAATGATGAATCCATGAAGCATCTCATGACATGAATTAATCTGGAAGGCATTATGCTGAGTGAAATTAGTTACAAAAGGACAAATATTGTATAAGACCACTATTATAAGAACTCAGGAAAGGTTTAAACACAGAAGAAAATATTCTTTGATGGTTACGAGGGTGGGGAGGGAGGGAGAGGGAAATTCATTAACTAGATAGTAGAGAAGAATTATCTTAGGTGAAGGGAAGGACAACACACAATACAGGGGAAGTCAGCACAACTGGACTAAACCAAAAGCTAAGAAGTTTCCTGTATACAACCAAACACTTAGAGGGACAGAGTAGCAGGGGCAGAGGTCTGGGGATCATTGTTTTAGGGGATATCTAGGTCAAATGGCATAACAAAGCTTACTAAGAAAATGTTCTGCATCCTACTTTGGTGCGTGGCATCTGGGGTCTTAAAAGCTAGTGAGCGGCCATCTAAGACACATCAATTTGTCCTAACCCACCTGGAGCAAAGGAGAATGAAGAACACCGAAGACACAAGGAAAATATTAACCCAAGAGACAAAAAGGGCCACATAAGCTAGAGTCTCCATCTGCCTGAGAGCAGAAGAACTAGGTGGTGCCCAGCTATCACCAATGACCGCCCTGACAGGGAAAACAACAGAGAGTCCCGGATGGAACAGGAGAAAGGTGGTGTGTCAAATTCTACTAAGAAGACCAGGCTTAATGATCTGACTGAGACTGGAGGGACCCCGGAAGACATGGCCTCTGGACTCTCTGTTAGCCCAAAACTAAAACCATTCCCGAAGCCAACTCTTCAGGCAAAGATTAGACTGGACTATAAGACAGAAAATGATACTTGTGAAGACTGTGCTTCTTAGCTCAAGTAGATACATGAGTCTAAATGGGCAGCTTCTGTCCAGAGGCAAGATAAAAAGGCAGAAAGGGACAGGAGCTGGTTGAATGGACACAGGAAATCTGAGGTGGAAAGGAGTGTGCTGTCACAGTATGAGGAGTGTAACTAGGGTCACATAGCAGTGTGTGTATAAAGTTTTGTATGAGAAACTAAAAAAAAAAAAAAAAAGTTTTCCTCAAGATGTGGTATGCCTTTACACTACTGTGTAAACTTAGGTGTTTTCCTCTTAAGATGAGAAGATAGAATAATTGAAATGGTGCCTCTCACATTATCAAAATTGAAATTCAACAGTTCTTATATATTGAATTTGCATAAAAGGAGTAAATTGTTGTTCTTCATAGCAAATGTGCTGGAAAAGAAAAATAAATTTGTCAGCTAGATAAAAAATCTGGAGGTGATTAAGAAGAGATCAAATGAGAAAAAGTAACAAGGATTATAGCTTTCACTTACAAGGGAAATTGAGTCCAGGTAAAACATGATAAAAAAATTGGAAAACATATTCTATCATCTAGATAGTTCTAAACATTTAAATATGAAAGTAATGCTCCATGAATAAGGTATTAGCTAACTCAATGAGTATTTAGCATTAATCTGTTTATCTGCTATCCTATAGACAGAGTCTTAGCTGCCTGCCATATCCAAATGATCAAATCATCACTTAAATCCTTATGCTCCAAATAATGTTTATTGGGATTCCACAGACTTTAATACTGAATGTGGTAAAACTTTTTAAAAAAATCAACCATGATACACCTTTTTTCAGGTAGAATAAAAGCAGAGTCAATTCTTTTGTGGAATTAGAGATGCAATATGGCATAGCAATTAGATTTTGGACTCTTAGATGCCAGCCTATATATTTAAATCCCGTCTCTGCCATTTAGTAGTTACATAAATTGGTAAGTTGCTTAACTTCTAGGTACTTCTGTTTTCTAATCTATAAAATGGAGATAATAATATTTGCCTCAAAGGTTGGTGTGAAAACTAAATGAATAAATATTTGTAAAATTCTAACAATAGTACTTAGCACATAGTAAGTGTGATATATGGGATTGCTATTGGTATAAAAATTATAATTAAAAATTCTGTTTCAATTTGGAGGTTCCCAAATAAAGTGATGCAAACTGCCCACAGCTACTTCAGCATACAAATTCTAGAAATATCTTATAATTTCACTCAAGGATTGGAGACCCCCATCTTTCTGAGGCTAAAGGGAATAATATTATAAGAATGGAAGCCTCATGGACAGCATACCTGTCTCATCACTATATTCATCGTCATATTCATAGTGCCTTGCACATAGTAAACGCTCAATAAGCTTTTACTGAAGAAATGAATGAATTGTGCCAAACATCAAATATTCACAAGCCATTAATATTTAGCTTTAAGATTCAAATAACATGGGTATACTTCTCTTTAGTCAAATTTCAATACGTGAAATACTAGAATTTCACAAAACCTAAATCAGTAATTGGTCCTTCTTGCTTATATCCTCTTTAATGTCATTTTGAACATGATTTACTTTACAAATATCCTATTTGCACAGAACTAGTGCAACATTCATTGCCTGGAGTGAAAGCCTATGTCTGGCAACCACAAAACTACATATTCTTGCTGTGGATTCTTCATACCTAAGTTACAGGAGCTTGGAGGTTAAACAGGCAGAATCCTTCTCGTAATGCATTTTCATATTGTGCAAGGCCAGCAAATTGCTGTCCAATCTTTATTCCATCAGGTTTAACTTATTTCTTATCCATTTTCTAAATTGTCTACAAATGAGCCATAAGAAAATTGTATTCTAGTGAGAGGCTGAAAATATGAGATTTATTCCAAAGACTATCACTTCAAGAAATTGGGCATAATTCTGTACAAAGAGCTTTCTCCAACTGTATGCAGCTTGTGATTCCATTGCAGTTGAGAGAGACTGACTTAGCAGAGAAAGCACATGATTCTAGACATATTTACTGAGAATTCACAGCAGAGTTGGTTACTCCTGCTGCACATACAGAAGAACTGGAGATGCAATATTTAGCAAAGATCTTATCCCTTCTATCTAGAGATAAGGGAAATATTCATGGAAATAAACCCTGGGAAGTTAAGATTAAGAAAAAATTGTTCTCCTACACAAATGGTCTGATTCTCACTCTGCTTATCCAAATCTTAACAAATCTTAATAGCTAAGTCCTCCAAGAAAAACCTCCCCAAAACTGTTGTCCATGGAACTCTTTCTTGATTATTCACAAAACATAAAATCTATACCAAATATCTTGGCACTTAATTATTTTAAGTTTTAACATTTTAACCTGTGTACTGCTTATACTTTAATTATTCAATGTGTAGAGGATTTATTCTACAATATTAATGTAATCTACATAAAGACAAATACAGCATCACACAATTCTGTGCATTCCAACAAATATTTTTCAATTAAGTGAACGTATCACCTATAAGATTCAACAGCATAAGTTTTACAAAAGTCTATATTTTTAATTAGATTTGAAATAGTTTAATTACTTTAAATTCTCTTAGAATATATTTTAAAAATAGAAATATGGGTCTTTTATATGTGGGAGGCTTATTGGGAGTACAGGCTGTCACTTAAATTAAATGTTCCTAGAAGTATGATTGCTTAATTGGGAGACATTAGGGCATTCTGGAATTATAAATTCCCTACCAAAAATGCCATAGGGAATGTTAAAAGCTGTGCTGTGTATTTATACAACACGTCAAAAAGCGACTAGGAGGACAAAAAGACTATGAGTGGAAAAAATAAATTAGGATGAAAGAAAATTAATTTATAAAATTCCTTATGCACATAACTATTCAGATTACAAACCTGTATATGTGAATGAATGCCTAAAAACACCTCTACTTTTTTCCACTGTGCACCTTGCTGTCCAGTTTGAGCCCACAATTTGGAAGTAACGTTGCCTTTCTTGTTCAGTACCTGCAGAGATAAATCAAGAAAAAGGTGTTAAAATATTTTGTCTTAATATGTTTTTAAATATATAGAATTTTCCAATTGAATTTTTTTTTAATTATTTTAATTTCAACACCAAGTCCCTGAGAAAAGAGCCTGAGACACTTTTCATTAAATGTCTTTGTTTGCTACTATGAAGTTACAGCACTGTGCCCCTGGGTACTTCACAAGTTTCTGATATAAAGATATACATGAATATCTGTTAGTCAAATCCAAAGGTATCTAGAAAATAGCTTCTGAGGAACTCTTAACTCATTCACTTTTTAGAAAATCTGTTAGCAGTTAAAATTCTAATTTTATATATTAAATAATATTCATATGGTAGAATGAAATTGTATGTAATTACTTACTAAAGCATTCATTTGCGAATAAGCCTCCTCATCCACTTGGTTTCAGTGCGAATGGTGTAAAGCCCATTAAACGGTAACAGCACAGATGGCTAATCTAAGTGGCCACCTACTCAAGATGTGCCAATAAGAGCTCCCTGCCCAACAGCCTTGAAACCAACAAATCTTCACCAGTAGCATACCCTCACTAAAAAATAATTCAAATTATTCTCAGCAGACAAATTATCACTGTTCTTCTTTGTAGAATGATAAGAAATCAATCATCAAGAGAGTAATAATAACAGGAAGAACGGAACAATTCCAATTTTAAAATAAGTGACTTGTTCTAAGTCACTTATTTTAAAATTGGAACACTGCTTTTTAAAAACACAATTTATAAGCCAAAGAATAATTCAGATAAAGGATTTGTGAAGGCTTTGACTTTTGAACGTGCTGGTAACTTTTAATGGTTTCATTACCATATTTTTTTACACAAATAATGCAAACTTTCTATGTTTGTTTGCCAGCCACGTCCTCCTCTCGTGAAGTATTTTCATAATCGCCAATATACCAATTTTTTAACATGTTGAGGTAAAAAGAATTAGTGTAGTGTGCTTACAAAAAAATACCTTGGGAGGTAGAGGATGTGGTTAGCAAACAAAAGTAGAAGGTGTGTGTTATTTGCATAAAAATCTGGTATATATATTTTTTATTTAAATTCAGATTATTGTTTTTACAGAACTAAAGTTTCCAGAGCATATAAAAAGTAACATGTCGCTAGAAAAAATAAAATTCAAGGTAATTCAACATATTAACAAAGTCAAGAAAATATGATTTCTAACCAAGATGTAAAAAGTATTTTTGAAGGGTACTGGAAAGAATGTATAGGAAATAGATCTTCTTCATATGACTGTAACACTATATACCATATTTTTACACAAATAATGCGTGCTTTCTATGTTTGTTTGCCTCCACCTGTGAGGTATTTTTGTAAGCACGTTATGCTAACTTTTTTTTAACAACATGTAAAAAAATTGGCATAGCAGCGCTTACAGAAGTATCTCGTGAGAGGAGGGGATGGTTGGCAAACAGACATGGAAGGTACACATCATTTACATAAAGATATGGTATAAGTCACTAAGGAAATATATATTCATGTAACACATTAATGGAACATTGAATGTTATTTTATTCAGCCATGCACAAAGATAGGAATCATGTGTACCAAAGTAATTATTTAATCATTAATTATTTACAAAATTCTAATACAACTTTATTTTTCATCTATTAATACAAAATCTTATTCTAAAAAAGCAAAAGCATATTTCAAGTAATTAATCTCTACTAGAAGATATATCAGGTAAAAAATTCTCATTTTACTTATGAAAACCCTGCAGTAAGTTATATTAATTGTTTTGCCAAAAACCACTGGGAGAAGTCATTGTTAAGCAAGTAATAAACTTTAACATCAAGCCATAAGACTATTTGGACACTCTTAGATTTTTAGACACACAAATACATACATACACACACAAATATACTTCTAAACTTTTTTTTTTTTTTACAAGTTTTAATATCATAAACAGGACAATTCTTCCAAAATTGATCTATAAATTTAACATGTTTTCAATATAAAACACTAATAGCATTTTTGAAGGCAGGTATATTTATTTTGAAATTTATTTTGAAAAAGGAATATTATGAATGGACAGGAATATTCTAGACTAAAACAGCAAAAAAAAAGAAAAAAAATACCTAATATTAATATTACAATCAAGTTACTAGGAAGGAAGTGGTTAAGCAGCTGGCCTCTAGACTACTTCTTTCTTTTTGATTGGAAAGATGAAGACAAAGCAACCCAAGTCTAATCTCCTTGCAAACATGTTTAACCCAGACCTCTCAGCAAACAAATTAGTAGTATTAGAGACGGATAGAGACCTTATCTATGGAATGCTTTAGCAAGATATCCCTGGTCTAAAAATTCTCGTAGTAAACAACTATGGAATCTATGAATTTGTTTTTCAGACATGGCTTCCTAGAAAACGTCATGTAAGCCATAAAACTAAGTGTAAATGGAAAGGCCTCAAAACTGAGTTGGCTTCTTCTGGGTAAGTGATGTGTCTATACACATTATTTACAAATATTACTTATTATTCTCTATCAAGACGTCTCCAATATGGGGACTTGTGTTAGTATTCCAGAACTTCTGTTTTGCCTATATATCTTGGTTTACTAAAAGAAACCAAGATCCCTTGGAAAAATACTTAATTCCAAGGATGGGGCAGAATAAAAACAAGATGAGTTTGGAGCATCTTGTTGACCAGAAAGGAAGAAAATTCTTAGTGAACGATGCAGCCAAACAGATATAGACATCACCTTGAAGGGGCTCCTACTAACCAAACATAGAAAATTTTGAGCACCAAAATATATAATATAAATAGATTATAACACATTATATAAGAACCATGAGTCCATACTGATATCAATAAATGGATCAATAAATGGAGAAAAGAGAATATTTTTCTTTATAATAGAAAACCAACCTATAGATACAGATGGAATAAATGTGGTTAGAAAATCACAATTAAGCAACCATCACAGTAAAAGAAACACCAATGAAAGCAAGAAACACCAATGAAAGCAAAACCAGCAGTAAAAATTGTAGCTAATACCAAGAGTTTACATAGTTTCAAAGTATCGCTTCACAAAATATTTATTGATAGCAAAAGGAAGAAAAGTAATGGGGCCAATCAACCAAATACTATTAGGATGCAATGAAAAGAACACAATGCATTATATTGAACAAATTCAGATTAAGAGGTGTTCTATTAAATGATCGGGCTATCCTCTTAAAATATCAAGGTTCTAAAAGAGTAGGGAAAATAAAGGAATTGTTCTTGTTTGAAAGACATTACAAAGAAATGACTACTGTGTGCAATATGTGATACTGTATTTGATTGTTTGCTATAAAGGGCATGGCTGGGACAACTGGAGAAAAATTAGTCTCAGTGTGACAGGTATATGGGAATTGTTTGTGCTATTCTTGCAATATTTCTGTGACTTTTAAAGGGTTTTAAACATTTTTGAGAAATATACAATTCAAAAAAGACTATCAAAGAATGTAGCACCACTACCATCAAAGATAACCAGAACACACATCCAAATATTATCAGAGTGTATATTTGTTTGATTGTGTTATAACATTGATACTGAAACCTACATAACACATTTCGAGTGTGAAACAGTATTATATAGAAGAAGTAACCTCAGAATAGAGACAATAGTCTGAAATTAAATAGAAAAAAAATTACCTATTAATCATTCGGGTACTATTCTGCTAAGGCTTTTTTTCCCCAATCATATCGTTTTGAAACTAGCGAAAGGTTGATAATTGTCCATTTTCATTAGCAGACTATATTTTAATGACACTAAATTATACAGTATGAATTTTCACACAGCAATTTCAGAAAATGCAATTGCCTAAGAAATACCTGAAGAGAACCAACTGTGGCACCATTCATATGAGTCCAGAACAGCAAGGCACATTTTGGTCCCGTAAGTGAAATAACAGGAGTAAGAATGTCAGCCGTGTCACCAAATTTTCCATTTGAACTATCAGCATACAAGTACCAGCCATCCATGGTATTTCTGTGGAAAGTATGATGTGTTTATTAGGATGGAAAAAAAAAAGTAGAAAATCATGAAATATAACCTAGTTTGTCATTGTCTGTATTTTATTGTTCTATCGATTCTCCTAAGAGTATAATGATACAACTTTTCCTCAATTATTAACATGGTTAGGTTCCAAAGACCAGGTCGTTGTACAAAACTAGCATTATGCAAAAATGAAGTATGATCACGAGATCACAAAATGGAAGACAACTACATCATTACATAACTGCCAAACCACTGAGAATCACGGCCTAGCCAAGCTGACATATAATCTAACCATCACAGCCACATTACCCTTGCCTCACACTTTGATGTTCATTACCGCCAAACATACATCACTAATGTGCAGAATAGTCAGATAGTAGATTTTTCACTATTTGTTGTAAATTTGAAATGTTGAGTAATGAAATAGTCAACAAATGAAGAAAAGGTGTAGTTCTACCATTTCAATTTTGAGTCCATTCTCATTTTAATGATATCAATTTGTTCAGTATGTACAAATTATGGCAAAGGCAGAAATTCACAAATCTAATCTGTAATGACTAGGTTGTTTTTTTTTGTTTTTTTTTTACAATAATACCACAAATACCCTGTTCAGTTCTTTAGAGCTTATTTTCATGCGGATACAATGAGGCCTGGAAGCACTAAAGACCAATTTAAAAGACATAATAGAAGAAAAAATGTAAGTAGAACATATAAACCAGAAAGGAAACTGGACTGGTGTGCAGCTTATAGGCCTAAAAGACTTTAAGTTTCAAATTTATTATTTCTATATTAATTTAATTCAGTTTCACTTAAACATATTTTAAAAGCTGGTAGGTGGTTTTTAAAGTATATCTTTTCCTCCCTAGATACCAAATTAAAGAGGAAAGATAAATTATAAGAACAACTGAATTTTAAATATCAAAGTGTTCTTATCAGAAAGGACAAAGTTTATGCCCCCATTTAATCATTAATTTTAAAAAAGATATAATAAAATATTAAAAACATGCTAGGTAATACATAGTTTTTGAAGCATTAAATAAAGAAGTGATTCCTCATAAGTGATTCTGGCACTCTCTTTGATTAACTTGATTTCTAGCCACTTTCTAACACATACAGGTGCTAGACTATACAGTTTCAACTTTTACTTCTTTAATTTTACTTTGAAACTTTTATCATGTTCCTTGAAAAAAGAGCTATGGATCATTAATGGCAAAACAGCTGGATAGGAAGACACAATTATTCATTCAGCTACCAAATACTTATTAAGTGTTCAGTCTTCTAGTCTTGCCAGTAGCAATGCAAGGCACTGGGAATATAACTGAAAGAAATAGGCAGAACTGGGTTTGGCCTTTGGTTTCATCATTTATTAGATGGAGAACTTTGGACAGGATATGTAGCTTCCCTGAACATATTAGGTTCTTCATTTATAATGGGATAATTCCATACATGGTCTTAAGAAAATTAGAAATAAAATAAATGGAATATCTAAGATAGTACCTAGCCCATTTTATGTATGGTAGTTGTTATTGCTGTTGCTAATGAAATAAGAGTTCAGTGTCCTGCAAATCACAGAGTGTGTGTGGTAGGTTAGTGTACAGGATGATTATTATATTACTCTGTCTAAATTATATCTCAATGAAAAAGCAGTTCCAGCTTTATTCCTAGTATGCCTAATATCTCAGTACCCCAGGGATGCCAAGAACAGAGAGAATATGTGGTCACTTACACAGTTAAGGCATATAGAACCAACAGTGAAAACAGATGTAGAAAAAGATCATGCATAGTTTTGTATACACACACACACACACACACACACACACATATATGATTTATTGAATATGCAAACTTTTCCTTAAAGTTACTATCAGGATTTTTGAAATTTTATTATGATTTCTCATGAAATTATTTTAGTTTAGCTAAATATCCTCAATTAAACAAAGCTCTACTTTTGAGATACAGCTTGAATTGTCTAATTTTACTGCTACCACCTTAAGTCTGACTCTTGTCATCTCTTGTCTACGATAATAAGCCTCCTAAGTGATCTTCTCACTTCTCTTTTGACTCATTCAATCTATTACTCACACATCCACTTATAATAATCTTTTTTTATGAAAACGGACTTTGGCTTACATAACTTCTCAAATCTATTATGTAAAATCTACTAAAAGTTTCCTAATGGGCTTAGGATATTATAATAAAAGTATTTTATAAGGCCCACAAATCTCTATATAATCTAGCCCCTGTCTATCAACTGGAAATCCATGAATAGGAATTGGAAAGAGATATGCCCAATAGGCTCTCACGAGCCAGTATGTCAGTCCAGCACACCTATAAATTGTAGGACACTATCATAAAGATATCAGTTCTTTACATATTGATTTATAGATTCAATGATATCTCAACAAAATCCCAATGGGTATTTTTGTAGAAATTGATAAATTGATTCCTAACTTTACATAAAAATCCAAAGGACCAAAATAGCCAATAGTATCATGAAGGAGAACAAAGTTACAGGACTTATTCTATCAGATATCAAGATTTATTATAAAGGTAGAATAATCAAGACAGAGTGGTATTGGGGCAAGGAGAGATAAACAGGCCAGAGAAACAGAAGATATAGTTCTGAAACAGACCCACATATATTTGGACACCTGATTTATGAAGTATTTTGTTCTGCAAAGCAGGGAGAAAAAGGATAATCTTTTCAATAAATGAGCTGAATAAATTAGGTAACCATGTGGGGAAAAAATGAACCTTGACCTCTATCTCACACCATTTAAAACACTCAATTGCAGGTAGATTGTACATCTAAGTGGGGAAGATAAAACAGTACAGCTTGTCAAAGATAACAAGAATATCTTCATGTGGGAATTTAAAACGGTTTAAAAATAGTATTAAAAATTACCAGCCAGCTGGGGACCACAGTCTTGGGGAACATCTAGCTCAATTGGCATAACATACTTTATACAGAAAATGTTCTACATTCTACTTAGGTGAGTAGCGTCTGGGGTCTTAAAAGTCTATGAGTGGCCATCTAAGATACACCACTGGTCTCACCCCTTCGGGAGCAAGGGAAAATGAAGAAAACTAAAGACACAAGGGAAAGATTAGTCCAAAGGACTAACAGACCACAACTACTATAGCCTCCACCAGACTGAGTCCAGTACAACTAGAAGGTGCCCCGCTACCACCACTGACTACTCTGACGGGGATCACATAGAGGGTCCCGGACAGAGCTGGAAAAAAATGTAGAACAAAATTCTAACTCACAAAAAAAGACCAGACTTACCGGTCTGACAGAGACTGGATAAACCCCAAGAGTATGGCCCCCAGACACCCTTTTAGCCCAGTAATGAGGTCACTCCAGAGGTTCACCTTTTAGCCAAAGATTAGACAGACCCATAGGACAAAACGAGAATAAAGGGGCACGCTAGCCCACGGGCAAGGACTGGAAGGCAGGAGGCGACAGGAAAGCTGGTAAACAGGGAACCCAAGGTCGAGCAGGGAGAGTACTGACATGTCACAGGGTTGTTAACCAATGCCATAAAACAATGTGTACTAATTGTTTAATGAGAAGCTAGTTTGTTCTGTAAACCTTCATCTAAAGTTCAATTTAAAAAAAATTACATCATAAAAGGAAAAGATCAAAAAATATAACTGCATTGAAATTAAGGATTTACGTTTATCATAGACACCAATAAGATGATCAAAAAGCCAACTACCATATAGGAGAAAACATTTGTATCACAGTTAATGAATGTAACATTTATTGATTATCTACTATGTAATAGGCAATACGCCAGATGTTCAACATATGTATGTATTTATATACATACGTATTACACACCTACATACATATTAGCAAAAACTGGGAAAATATCTTGAAATGCTAATATGTTTATCTCTGTATTTGGGGCCAAGTTAATTTTACTTGCTATATACTACCTGGAGCCTTGGTGGTGCAGTGGTTAAGAGCTTGGATGCTAACCAAAAGGTCAGCAGTTCGAATCCACCAACCACTCCTTGGAAACCCTATGGGGCAGTTCTACTGTGTCCTGTAGAGTTGCTAAGAGTTGGTATCGACTCAGCGACAATGGTTTTTTGTTTTGTTTTGTTTTGTTTAATATAGTGCCTGGTTTATAGTAGAGGCTCAAAATATATTTGTTAAGTAGACAAGTTTAATATGAGTTGGAAATAGCAGCGCACCTGTGGGGGAGGGGGACGAAAGGCCAAGGGAGTAACAGAATTGTGGATTCAGATGAAATTACGTGAAAAAGTTGGTCATGTGTCCCAAGCAAGGGGTTGGGGGGACTCATACAACAGAACAGAGCTAATAGATCTGGAGACCATAGAGGAATTAAATGACTAAAAGCCACAATTCTGACAATAACAAAAGCATGTAGTAGATGGTTCTTCAAGTAAAGGTCCCTATATTAATTTCCCAGAAACCGCACAATGAAAAAAACTGATATTTCCTTAATTCAATACAATCCTAGAAAATTCAGTCAAGGGCAAATATAATACAAAGTATCGAAACTACTCTCTACAATTATATATCCCTGAACTACTACCTTCACCTGCAAGGAAAAGAAAAAAGAGACATGTCAGGAGATCAATTTGAAAAATACAAACAACAAAACTGCATTTGTGTTTTTACATCAAACCGTGAACGCGGTACCAACATAGCAGTACATCATTTGACAACCAGTCTTGTATGCAATAATTGGAGGTACATGATGTATGTAAGATTACTCATGGAAAAATGAAGAAATACACAAACATTTGCCTGTGTCTGTGGTGGGATTATTCAAGCATGCACCTGCAAAGGAAATCAACTCCTGTCTTGGAATGAGTACAGCAGTAATGATCACAGCTAATGCAGCTGTCATGGATAAAATATCAGCGTCTCTCCAACAGCCTTCAAATTGTCTTTTGTCATACAGAGAAGGAAGTAGGATGTTTTATAGAAACATATCTTTTCTAATAAAATA